AGCGGGACGCGAGCGGCTCCGCGGAGATGGCGGCGGACTACAGCTCCCATGGTGCCGCGCGGCGCGCCGGGAGGCGCTGCGAAGGGCGAGAAAAGCTGGAAAACGCGTTAAAAAAATCACCCACGCGGTGCTGAAAACACGACGAGCTGCGATAAAAATGAAAATTAAGAGGAGAGGAACAAAAACAACAACTTATGCGGGTGTTTCCGCCCGGTTTCGAACCGGGGACCTTTCGCGTGTTAGGCGAACGTGATAACCACTACACTACGGAAACGCCGCTGGGAGCGTCGTTGGAGCTCGGCGCTGCTGAGGCGGCGGGGCCGGCGGGCACCCTGCGGCGACACACGGCGATGGCCCTGAGGTGCCACGGTTTAATAACGGCCTCTGTACACAGTGTAACTGGAGATACGCACTGCAGCGCTGTCCATCGAGAAAGGGGAAGACGGGGGAGGCCACTCCAGCAAAGCTGCACGGTCAGGATGGAGAGTTAGGAAAAACTGGGGCAATCCAACTGGGATTGTGTCTTATGTAGGAAGCCATGTGGCATCTTTCCTGTTTTCTCCTACAAAACAAGGAGACAGACCCAATAGACTGCCCAGTGAGGGCTTCCATTTACATCCACAAAAGACTTTTCTGAGCCATGCTGCATTCCTGGCTATGAGAAAGAGTCCCAGCACCAAGAGTAACCTCACGGGTACAAAAAGAGTAAAGTAAAAATCTTCATCCTCCCCAAAAACACTAAATAGTTTTGCAGTACACCCATAAATAAAAAGCTGCACCCTCAGTCAACATACCACACCAAAATGGATGCTCTTCTAAACACCCTGGGCAAGAAGCCCATGAAATTTGGGGTCTGACTTTGTGGTTGGGTCCGTTTAGGGCATGGAGTCTGCGCTCAGCTTTGGTGGCCCCCTGGGTTTCGTCTGACACAGCCAGGGACACGCGCGCAGGAGCGGGTGCTGGTGCCGTAGCGACCGTCCCCACTCCAGGAGGGCTATGTCATAAAGGGGAGGGGGACACACGCAGCCACCCGGACCCACGTTTAGCCGGGGACCGAGCAGGGAACGGCGAGTGGGAGCTGGTGCTTGCAATGCCCAACCTGCCTCCTGCCGTCGTCGTAGACAATGGCTCGGGCCTCATCAAGGCCGGCATCGCAGGGGAGAAGAAGCCGTTGATCATCTATGCCAATGTGGTCGGCCATCTCCAAGACAAAGCGGCGTCAGGCCAGAAGCACTGCTATGTTGGGAACGAGGCACAGGCCCGGAGAGGGATCCTTTCCATCAGGTAGGAGCTGCAAAGCCCAAGGAGATGGGCTGTGGGCATGAAGGGAGCCTCATGGTGGAGGGGGTTAGAGGAGGAAACTTAACTCTGCCATCCTCTGTAAAGGGAAACACGAGCTGAACCCCAGCTGGTGGGAGCGCTTCCCCGGCGCTTCCTCAGGGCACCTTGCATGATATAAAGGTTCACAAAGTGCTCATTTATGGTAACTTTTCCTCATGTTCTTCACATAGGACATCCCCCTAGCAGACAGCCCTGCCCATAGGAGGTGCTGGTGCCGCCATAGAGGCTGCCATAAAAACCACTGCCCTTGTTTTTCGCTCGACTCCTGCAGGTACCCAGTAGAGCGGGGCATCATCACGTCCTGGGAAGATATGGAGACTGTGTGGAAGAGCATCTACGACCATGACCTGCAGATGCGAACCAGCGAGCAGCCCGTGCTGCTGACCGAGGCGCCGCTCAACCCTTTGGCCAACCGAGAGAGGATGACCGAGCTCTTCTTTGAGCGCTTTGACGTACCAGCTCTCTACATGTCTATCCAGGCCGTGCTGGCGCTCTACGCCTCAGGGCTCACCACGGGCTGCGTGGTGGACACTGGCGATGGCGTCACGCACAGTGTGCCCGTCTTTGATGGCTACTGCTTGCCCCACGGCGTCCTCCGGCTCGAGCTGGCCGGCCGCGACCTCACAGACTACCTAGCGCGGCTCCTCATGGACCGTGGCGCTTTGCTCGTCTCCACAGCCGAGGAGCAACTCGTGCAAAACATGAAGGAAAAGTTATGCTACGTGTGCCTGAATCTGGAGGAAGAGATGGCCAAGAAGCCTAGCGAAGTGGAAAAAACCTTCCACCTTCCCGACGGCAATGAAGTTAAGGTGCACAATGAAAGGTTTCGTTGTCCGGAAGCCCTCTTTCACCCTCCTACCGTTGGCGTGGAGGCACCGGGGATTGACAAGCTCTGCTTCAACTCCATCATGAACTGTGACACGGGCCTGAGGAATTGCTTCTACTCCAACATCCTCCTGGCCGGCGGCTCCAGCCTCTTCCCTGGAATTGCTGAACGCCTGATCAAGGAGATGGTTCCCATGGTTCCGGGTGACGCGAGGGTGAGAGTCAGTGCTCCTCCCGAGAGGAAGTTTTCGCCATGGATGGGAGGCTCCATCCTTGCCTCCTTGAGCGCCTTCCAGCACATGTGGATCACTGCGGCTGAGTACAGGGAGGCTGGGCCTAACATGGTGCACAGAAAATGTTTCTGAAGTGATCTGGGGTGGATTTTACTTGGAAACAGAATGGAAAACAACCTTGGATTGCTGCTACCCAGATACTAGTGTGGAAGAGGTCTGCACCTGTGTCCTGCTTTTGAAAGTCCAATAAAAGATATGACTTTGGGCACAATTCCTTCCGTCTCTGAGAACATGCCTCCTTGAATGAGACACAAAACGTCAGTTCGCAACGTGGCTCTACCTGGAGCAAGGCTGCATGGCGCATGACTGAGGTTGGAGCAACCGAGCGCTTTGCCCTGGTGCCTCAGGCAGCTGCGCTCGGGCTTACCTGGGCAGAGAAGAGCAAAACAAACCCGAACACCCACCAAAGGGGCGCTCTGCCGCTCCTGCTCTCCCGCGGGGACCTCGGGGCGGAGCAGCAGGGACGGAGGAGCCCCCCGGGGTGAGGCCCGAGCTGCGGGTGCCGGCGCCGC